TGCGTGTAATGCGGACAAGACCATCACTAACTCGCACCAATAAGGTTGAAGGAAAACCTACTCGCGCTAATTGTCGGGGAGACACCCAGCAAGTTATAGAAGATGTATCTACTATCCCAAATACGCCCCTTTTAGTAAAGAGCTGTTCTTTTCACAAGATAACTCCATTCAACCAAATGTAACCTACGCTCAAGCTGCAGGCTCAATAAAAAAGATAAAATTACACAAACTAACCCAGATGAAATTATAATTGAACATGTTGTTACATTATCTGAGGCTAGTAGTAATCAAATAGCCAAACCTATAAGAGGTTTGTTCGCCAAAACGAACCATCGTCGATGACTTTTTTCCCGCCCCTAGAATATAAGATTCATTTCTCTCATGGAATGCTGATGGAATAAGAAATAATAAGCAAGAGTTAAGAGAACTCAGCTCACGATTAAAACCTGGCCCTTCTCTCCGAAAACCCACAAAAAAAAGATAATAAACTTAACATACCTAACTACATTCTATAAAGAAGAGACCGCAACAACACAAAAGGGGGAGGCGTTGCTGCTCTAATTAAAAAGCATATCCCCATTTCTATGTAGAATACCCTGATCTACAAAGCCTAGATGCTATTAGAATAAACATTTAACTTCAATTAACCGACCCAATAAATATTATTGCCACGTATAAAGCCCCAGAAAAGGTATTATATACTAAGAATTAAAATCAGATCTTTCATGGTGACATCTCAACCATTTCTTGCGGTGACTTCAAACATACATGAGGAAACTGTAGAAAATCTAATTCCCATTAAAAGGTTCTTAAACGGTGGACTGAACAAAATAACTGTGTCGTCTTAGCTCCGTACCAGCCCACACATAATTCAATACGAGGTACTTGAGATATTCTGGACATTGCCGTATTACAGGATATTTCAAAGTCAACCTCTATAACAACCTTACAGGAGCTTTTATCAGATCGTGACCCCATATTAACTGAAATAATTGTTGGAGACCCTTCACCCCCTTGACCTACTTTAAACTTAGACTAAGTAATTTTTCATGTTCGGGTGACTAAATTCATTGGCATGATTAGCAGGCAAACCTTAAGAGATCGACCACAAAACCTCGATTACCAAGAAAAAGGGCGTTTATAGTCTCGCTCTCCCCGTTAATATTAAAAAACTGATAGGAAGGAGGCATTATAAGCAAATGGAACGAAAGAATTATAAAGGAGCTAAGGATATCCTTCAACAAGAGTGGGTAAACATACTTAATTAATTAACTTTCTCGACAAATTGATTTAGATGACTAATTTATTATCTGGTAAAAAGAAATAACCGATATATTCCCTACTTACAACAATAAAAAGATTGCTTACACTACATCTGAAAAAAAACCTCTATATTTACGGAACATATCCCCTTTGAAACCTTCGCTCACCGACAAAATTATCGTAGCGAACATGTAGACTAGTTAGAAAAGGGTATAGACTGCGCTAAAAACTCTGGTTTAAAAAAGTCTTACACAGAAAAAGACATACGAGTCGTAATCCAATCACTCCATAGTAGAAAGGCAATAGGCTCTAATGGTATATCTCATAAGATGCTTAAACAAACACTAACAGGGCTCCACTTTATCACTGACCCGCTCAATTAAATTTTACATAAATATATTTCCCAAAGCAATGGAATAACGCAGATGTCAGTTGTTCACCAAAACAATTAAACCTAGCTGGAAGCAGTAATACTAAGAAGGCTACAAACTTTTGTTGAAGATAAATTTATTATACCAGACTGACAATTTGGGTTTAGGCATAATCTTCAAAACAACTTAACAGAAAAATTAAGATTTTTGAAACAAGTTTTACCTGGTCCATACATTTCTTAAGCTCAGTACACTATCTCTTTCGATGTTGAGGAGAATTGAATTCTTGACAGACCGAGAGCGCTTCGGTGTTAACGGGCCCCGCATTGGGAAGAGATTTGCTTATCTTCACCGGTGTATTGATAGAAATAATTTGGGGGCTGTCCGGCTCGCTAAATGGAAATAAGAGAATCCTTTGCCTGTTGGCGACAATATACTCCCTATGGGTTTTTTCCACTCATGTAGATGTTCATCATACATGTCATCCATCCAGCTTTTCGAGGACTAGTAGTTCCATGGTTCTACGATGAGAATACGTCCTTTAAAGGTATCCCCATGAAATGGAGAAGGATAGAAGTGATAGAGCCTTTATATATTAAAAAACTATACTAGGTGTAAGCGGATAATTAATTTTACTGAAAAAATTTTGCTAAAGTTCTTCCAATAAAATTCAGGACTAGAAAGAGACTGAGGATATCAGAAGTAGCTTGAATTCTGATCCTTTCTGCTGCCTGTGTCTCTTTATTGGGATTTGATGGCCCTTCTCTAACAGGGTTAGCATTATTAAAATTTTTAAAGTCAACACGCATAACTCTAACTTCTTTATTTATATAACTCTGTATAACGCGTTAACTTTATTTAACAGGATATATTGTAAGTTGTTTATACAACACAGCTGACGATAAGTCACCAAGCGAAAAAAAAAGTTAATTGCTTTTAAATAATGAAAAACATTGCTTTACAGATTATACTAAGTCTGTGTTCAAATAAATTTTTATTATTAACAACTAATTTACAATAAAAACACTCATTTATGCATTATTATAAAGTTAGTGAGTAGTTCAGAAAAATGTTTTATTACATACCAAATAAACCCTTTCACTTGATATACTTTGCTCTTTACACGTATATTACAAAGTACAGAATATTATCTTTTGACTATTTTATTAGTTATAAGGATGCCTTTTCCCCCTCCTTCCAGACTTTCCTCTTAGAAATTAGTAACTACTTAGCATTTTCTACTTTATATAACTTAGAAATATTTTGTTTTAAACTCAAAATTGTTTCAAATAAGAGAGTTGAATTAACACGCCCCATGAAAATTCCCGGGATTATCCACAAATGACTCTCTTAAAAACAATCCATACCATTCTCAGTTAGCACAACATAATAGTGATACGTACTAAATTTTAATGGCATTCCATTTGTTCGTTATCGAGATATCGAAAATTTATTGACGTTGCCTTCGTTATTTTCAAAACAGTTGGAATAAACGAATTTTGTGTGTTATGATAGAAAAAAATACCGTTAAAGGTCAACAATGGTCTAAAAAGGATTACTAGAAATTTGCTCGTCGAAAACAACGATTTGTCGATGGTTTACTGAGTTTAAACCCGGCCGTCCGAACACATATGAAGCTGAACACTCTAGCCGCCTAAATGAGACAGTTACTCTAGAAAACAGATTTTCCATTCTTTGATGATCGTAAAGTGAAGTTGCGTGGGTTAGCTCACAAGCAAAGATATCAATTTTTAAAGTGTAAGCTACATTATACACGAACATATGGGGTTGAGAAAACTGTAAAAATTGGGTACTGCGATTGCTCACGTGGACCAAAAACAACGCTGTTTGGAGCTGTTTAAGCAAAATAAAAAGAATTTTAATGTAATTTGTAACAATATATGAATCATGTATACTCTACCCAGAGGTAGTTAAATGGAAGCAAAAAAAAAAGTCGATTAAAGCGATTGTCCTTTTATTTTGCATAGCACTGTTTTCGTGGTATCCCCATTCACGTTCTAAGGTTACCCAAAAAACATCGAAGTTATTTTGGTCATTCGAAGAGGAGCCGATATCTCTGAAGCTCCTGAATAAATTCATGATACTGAAGAGGTTTTAAAAAAAACTAACGAAGGAATTATACTTTTTATACTACCACGGAATTAATATTATGTATATTTAAACCAATTAAAAAAATTAAACTAAATCAGTAATTATTTGCTACAAGCTTAAGACTTCTAAAAGCGTTTTAATACTATTAAGTTAATGCATCCAGTGCAATAATTCACCACCTGACTTAAAACACAGGCTTCAAACAAGTCGTTCACGATTGCATTACATATGTCAATACCAACTCCTAATCGCGGTGGCAACTGACTTTGCGAAAAACAAAGAAGGATGTAACCGCCATTATCAAATTACTTTGCAAGGCTCCCAAGATCGAGCCTCATCATATAAATTTTTTATAAGTGCACTATTAGTGATTTATCATTTTAAAATTCTTTGTCATACATTAATATTCGTCACCTCTAATGTAACTGAACCGATGAGCTTTGAAGCCACCCATTTAAGAACTTCTTTTAAGATTATGTAATACTAAGCTGGAGTTCATGAAGTTTACTGATTTGATCGAGCAACGATATAACGGAGTTATATAAAAAAAAACCTGCTTGGGAATTCTTTTCCATATAGGCATCTAGATATTTTCTGCCACGAGAAAAGAATGACAAGTTTTTTATCAACTGACGTTACTGCAATGAGTTTTAACGGAGTTTCCCAATTAAAAAGTTCGAGCGTATTTTGGAATTTCAGCAACTCCTTAGCTATCTTTTTCCTCGCAAGTTTTAGCTTAGAAAATAACATCTAGTCTGTCATTAGAGGGCTGTCCAGTTTTTTTTTAGTTTGTAAGTCTCCAAAGCTTCCGTTTTTATAACGGCCCTATCCTTAATTATAAGATTGTACCATCTTCGCACTCCCCCTCAAGTGAGGTAAGAAGTACTTGCGTATATAAGTTTTTTACTTAATTAATTAAGACCAGCTGGGATGAAACCCACTTTGGAAAACATTAATGACTATATTCAAAGAAGAAATTTTTTTGCCTTTCATCCTCCTTTGGATAAATTGTTAATTGACTTTCCGTGTTTTTCTATCAGATCTCTCATTTTACCTATAAAAGTATATTCCTATTTTGTGGACCTATATATTTGTAAATCAAGGGTATGATGGACCTTTCCCTTTAAGAAGCCCGGCCAACCGCTCCCTGAAAACATGAGCTTCGTATACGTGAGACTGGTTGGAGCTCAAAGTTTTGTAACAATTTATGTCTCTCTGGTTGTTAGATGGCTTCCTGCGGTATTGGGAGCGCATTCACCTTCCTTACTTTTTGGTCCGTTGCATTCCGTGAAGTTTTCATTGGAAACTTGCTTTTCCGCTGCTCTGTTAATGAGTTGGGTCTTCCTTTTATAAGAAATCTATTTAGTTTTTAACCACTTTATAATACTCTTAACATTAATGTTGCATTTTCTTATTACATAAACCTTTCATTTTTGTTACTTTTGTTTCGCTGTTACCCTATTATTATATTATTATATTAGGCCTCACCAAGTCGTGGCGGATATGGCTATTTTTAAGAGGTTTATACTAAGATGCTTTGTAATTTAGTTTTTTAAAATTTGAAAAAGAAAGTATTTAAGTTCCTTTATTAAAAATCTTTAAAAGAATTATTAATTTCTATGCAAGAAAAGGTGAGAGTGATGAAAAATTCAATGTTACGTCCCTCAACCTTTTTAGTTATAGAAAAAATAAATTTATGGTTATATAAGCTGTTCTTATTACTCTCTAAAAATTAACCTTATATATAATATTAATCCCCTTTAGATTTTTTTTTATCGAATTCTTTAATATATATATTTTTTTACATAAGAAAATGATAGTTCGGATAAACACTTTCATTATTAGCTAATAAATTTTTGCAAAACACTATAACTTCAGTCTTATTGAATTTTTTATTTGATATTTGAGTGTAGATTTTTTTTAATATTTTTTCCATTTTTTTTTACTTTTTTTCTGTTTAGAATTGTAATCTGTAGATTTAATATGAAACTTTTTATAGAGGGCATTCTATTTATACTTTACTAGAAGACGATTTACTAATTTTATTTTTCATAATTTATTATTTCTGTAAAGCATTTATAAAGTTCCTACGAATTAATACTCTGTATTTTTCAAAAAACTACTTAATTTTTCTTAACAATTTATTGGTTAATTAATTTCTGCAGACTTTTTCTTTTTTTACTTTTAAACTTTTTCTACTCTTTAGTAGATTTTACTTAGTTATAATAATTTATTATTATATATATAATTACATGTATATATGTGGTAACTACTGCTTACGAACGTTTTGAGTATTATGTAAACTCTTTTTTAGTATATTACTATCAGAAAATAATAGTACCAATCACAACATACAGGATTTTCATTGGACTGCTGCTTAGGCGTCAAGTGGATGGGCGCCTTTGTTGTGTCTCTAATTGGTTAGTCCACTGTCTATGAGCTTTGGAACATTTGGGGCGACCTGCATAATTCTCCAGTAAAGCTTTTAGTTTGTGCGTTCGCACTATTTCCGATACTTTTCGCCTAAACATGACACAGAAGACAGTTTTGCACCACTTTCTTACCCGCATGGTTTGCTTGATTGTCTTCCTTTTGCGCTGTACGCCTCTTTTTTCCGGATCCACTTCTGTTGAGCGTTCTATTCCGGCCAGGGAGACGGTTTCATGAGCTCAAAGTTTCAAGTAGGGCCTGTCCGTATTCTTTGTGGCAATAAAGACCGGCTAACCCACCTTCCAGCACACGATCGTTGGAATCCTCTGGCTCATCAGTTGAGCGCAAAGCACTTGGTTTATGGTAAGCCTTGCAGTTACACTCTTTTCACGTCACCAACAAGTTTTAACAAGGGGCTAAGTTTACACTACGGAGCGCATATTCTGGCGGGGGCTCCTGCACTCCCACGCAGAACTCTATCCCATAGAGTATTTGCAAACTCTCCATTTGTAGGTGCGTCTCGGTGGTTGCTATCGTGCATTGCTGTGAATTATTCTCAACAGGTCACAACATAATTCCTATAAGGACGGTGTAATAACGATTGTACATCAAAAAGGCACCGCATGGTGGTCTCTTGCATGCCTAATTCGATCCAATATATTTTACTTGGGTCTCAGCTAAATCAGGCGGTGTACGAACTCCAAGTTGGAGCCTGTTCTTCACGGAAACCTCGTGCGTCTAAAGCACGTGAGCACTGCCAAGCACTTGCCCAGTCACAACGTGCCCGCGTTCATGACTCTGTGCAGAAACAGGCACTACCATTATTGTTGATCTATAGACCCACGCATACTCAAATTTTTTATTTTGTTACTATCGTGGATAACTATTTCTTCTATACCGCTTTAGTTGTTCTTTGAGGATTATTTATTATTCAGGTTTTTGGCTGCGAGCACAATGATTCCAATGACCACTGGCAAGTACTGGTAGACGGCTACGATGATTGGCCTATCCTGCACTTCTTGGCAAGAGCGACACAATGCCTGTAACCGAGGTAATAAACCAGTTGATTCGATTAAGGCACTGAATGAGATCTCTGTTCCCACCAATTCTGGGCATTTATCTCTGGTAACAGCTTATCACAGCATTGCTATCTACTCTACAGCGGCGTCAACCTGAAGTGGGGCTTCGAGCAAGGCGGGGTCACGTGAACTCTTCCTATTCCGATTCCGCAATTTGTGGAACTTTGAAACCATCGCCGATCCCCACGGTTACCTACTTTTGTGCATCGCTCCCACTTTCCCTCATTTGTGCACTGCACAGTCGAGTCATTTAGTTTGAAGCATGCGAAACCTCTTTCTTTTCTCGAGAGAGTCATTGAGCTGAACACCTCTATGATGAAAGTTAGCAATAAATTTAAACCCAAGCCTAGAGAAAACTCTCCCGGCCCTGGGATTGGCCCATTCTGAAGCAAGGTCTCTGCACCATCAAGCTTTCTGCGGCGGTTTTTCTTATTCTTTCTGGGCAGGTTACCGTTTCAACCCTAGTCATGAGCACAATCATCGCATCTTCTTAATGGGCAATCCGCTGGTGTTTGGTGCATCCGGGCTCTCTCTCATCTCATACTGTTTTCTCCTACTCTTTTACGCAATTATTAGAGAAAAGCTGCAGCAACAACTCATATGTGAACTACCAGTACTAACTCTACTGCAGGGGTAGAGCACCCCTACCTGAAGCACCGGAGCGCTGTGGTGCACACGTCGGGGGGCATGGCTGTTTCTAGGCTATCTTCTGCACTACCTTCCCTTTTACTTCATCACAAGAGTTCTGTACTTCCATCACTACCTCCCCGCTCTGCTCTTCTATTTTATGGTCAGCGGAGTTTTTTTCGAAGAGCTGTTATTCTGGCTGCGAGCCTGGAAACTGTCGCGCTTCCCCCTCGCCTGTGGCCTCTATTCTTTGCAGGCGCTCTCATACACTCTTTTGTGTACTTTTCACTTTTTGCATATTTGAAATGACGGACGACAGAAAATTATATAACTATCTTAAATGGGGCGCCTATAGGCTTATCTAACTTTACAATAAAAGTAGTACTGGTTTATATTAATACGATAATAGTTGGGGGGAGGGAGATGATTTCTTCACCTGCCCTTAGGCAGTAAAAATTTATATTATTCGCGTATTGCCCTTTAGGTGGTCGTAATAATTATAATTGTATAACGTCCTTATTTAAATCCGTTATCTTTGCGATATCGCGCTAATAACATGGATATCAACTTTTTTCTTGTCCTGAAAATATAAAGTTTGTCGTTTTTAATATTTCGCCAATACCTTGACATTTTAGAGGGGATTAAATTTATACAGAACAATATATACTTAGATATGCTGGCAATTGTTAACAGGCCAACTAATCATATCGTATCACCATTTATTTTTTGTTTTGTTTAAGTTAAAAAACTTCAGTAGTCGCCAATCTAAAGATCTTACAGGAGCCTTAAATACTTTTTGAGGTGTCGTAATTTTAATTTGACTTTTAATAGCTTTACCTACCTCAGCGTTATTGCATGCTGGTTACGAGTTAACAAAAAGTCTCCTTTCGGAATATTACCCGAAATCTATAAATTCAAATTATTCTTTTATTATGCTATATATATTAGACATCTTGAAATTTATAACAGCGGTTGTACTAAGCTTAGATATATAATACCTAAGATAGGGATAAGTTTATATAAACTTTTAAGACAACATATGCTACACACAGTAATCAGACTGCTCTGTTTTCCCACAATGCGTTCCATCTAGTTTGCTAAGCTTCCTAATAAGCACACTATTCACTAATACTAATCTAATAATCCTAGCTGTTCCTTAGCAGTGGTTTATACCCTACCAAAGATATGTAAACAAGCAGAAACAAGACCAGTAACTAGAAGGGTAACTACAAAACAATCTTATAAGTTAGTTAACGAAAAAAAAGGAAGTTGATTGTTGACGATAACAATTTTAATCAGCTCTTCGGTATAATAGGTAATCTTTTATAACTAACTTAATTAAAAAAAAAAGGATTTATTTTTGCGCTACTAATTTTGATAGCTCTTCGATTCCGTTTTCTTAGTATAAATACTAAGAAGCTTTTAAAATAAATTAACCCTTTAAGCCTTAATTTTAATATTCATCGTCATATTTTTTTTGGTTACTTTTTATTTACTTCTTTATTTTGTATTTATCTATTTTATATTCTGTTTAACATAAATTTTAATACCTAGCACTAGATAATAGTACAAATGACACTGGCGCGCTAGCAGCAGTGTTGTCATTCCTCAATGATAAAGCTGGTGCAACACTAACTTTCGTACGCAACTACTCGCTTTAACCCTTTAAGACAAAACTCAAGGGCTTATAATATATTTGTTTTACGTGGCACTGGTACCACTCTTTTGTCTTGTTGGTTGCTGCCTAATGCGTTAGAGCATTGTACTCAAACTTACCAGAGTTTATTTCAGAGGTCGAGCTCTCGTTTGGGGCCGATTTCTATAGACCTACTCTGGCAGATTGAACCATACAACAAGTGGTAAAAATAGTAACCTGTAGGGGTTAATGAGTGTAGTTTAGTCGAGAGAACGTAAAATCTATTTGTAAGGGTTCGCCTAACCGCCGTATAGTAAAATAGATCCCAGTAAGAGTCGTTATACTTCCAAAGTCAGTTTTTAGCTAATATGAGCCTTAAACAGGCAACTTTACAGATGAGTGCATGTGTAGGATTACTAGTTATCTAAGCAAGCAAAATAGCTTTCTCTTAATTAGGCATTAGTAATAAAAAACATACAACAAGCCTGGCAAACACCACGTTTTAATTAATTACTAGAGTGGGTCTTATCGAACTCGACGATTTTGTGGTCATCCTTTGATTGGACAATCGTTGGGAGACCTCGAATTAAAAGGGTGTCAAGTTCAGAATATTTCTCCTACATTGCCATATATGGCACTAACAACAATAACAACAGAGAAGGCAATGAACAAGAAAACGGACGTCGCTTATTATCAAAAGATATATTTTTTTTAATAAAAAGGTGTTCTTTGAGGAATGTTCAAGAACATGCTTGATGTTAAACACAAATCTAGACTTCTTTTTTTGCTTTTTTTTTTCATATCACCTTTCTTAAGGCAAACCGTATATATACCGTTTCAAAAGGATAAAAATCATTTGCGCTCATGTAAATTTGTATAGATTTAAAAGGTTAGGTATAGCGCCTCAATCAAATAGTCGAGAATATTTATTGTTTAGCCGACAACCAATTGAGTAATTAACCAGAAATTTACTCTTGTCAAGTAGGTAGCAGAGTCCTCTTTTTTCTTTTCTGATGATGTAGTTTTTGTTAAGGCGAGTTCCGCTACAAACAAAATGGAAAGGTACAAAAAATTCCAACCAATTCTGATATTATTTTTTTCTATCAAGAACCCCATGGTCTTCGAGAGAGATAGTCATACTGGCAGCTTTCTTGTAGCTATAACTCTTCCTTCACTCGTAGGGTTGGCTCTTGATTTATAACAGTTGCTGTGGACAGTAGGGGCCCCGACAGACGTACGGCACACAAGAGAGTCTAAATTATGACTGGACACACTGATTGGCGAAGTATTTTCTTTGCCTGCACTTACTGCTAGTAAAAATCCCACTCCATCGAAAAGTGTAAGATTCCTCTCAAACCTCGGAAGGCTTCAAAATAGTTCGTTTTAAATGAAATATTTAATTCTGTCTCTACCATTTCTCTTTTAAGAAATTGCATATTTCTTATATAAAATATTTAACAGCGAGAAATGGAGTGAAAAAATTTGTTGACGGTGCTTGATGGTGCACCTACGCTGATTGACTCTTTACAACTCCGAGACAGTTCTTGCAGTATAACGAAGCAGTATTCATAAATCCAGCTGGTCGCCTATGCTCGCAGGATAACCTCTTAACCTAATGGCCCCCGCTACCTTAACTCTTTTCGTATCAAATATTTCATTACTTATGCTGAAAATTCAGCACTCTCCTTTGACCTCTTTCCGTCCCACCATGGTAAATAAGCAACCTCTATATTAGTAACTTTTTTTTTTATATTTACTTTTAAACCAAGTAGAGCTCTGTACACAAATAATAAGTGTTCAAATAATACTGATTGATTATCTTCGAAACCTTATTGTGGGCCATAATAACTGTGTTTAGTAATATAATAACTATCATATAATACTAATTGCTATCATGTAATACTTATAATGGATTAATTTTGTGTCTTGAGTCAGGGGCAATATTAGTATATATTTTTTTATTGAAGCTCAAGAAATTCATCAAGAGAGATTTTTTTTCTTGCGCAGGCCTCTTGCAGTGTTTGGCTGTGGCCTGCGCACCTCTACTTTTTACTACGAATTTCCTATAAATATCTTACTTATTACATGTTTATTACTAGGGGGAACGAACTGCCTTGTCAAAACACTACTTCCATGAGATGGTGATCAAGAAATTGACTACCATTGAAGAACTAACAACAAAACTAGAATTTGCAAACAAAAAGATTTCCGAACTTGAAAGTAAAGTAAACAACTTCGTTTTTAATGCTTCAAAAAAACGAATTGGCGGTTCCTTAGCTTAGAAAATCCCAATTCTGATAATTTTTCATCGCTCATGACCGGGATGAAGTCGAAGTTGCTATCATTAATAATAAGAATGGTATCACTACTATTAGTAATCGGTATATTAAAAAAAGTGGCTCTAATAACAAATATAGTAGCAGGAACGATAGTAGAAAGTATAATACTAATAACAATAGTGGTGAAGACCATAATAATAATAATAATAACAGTTGAATCCCTACTACTAAGAGCAGTAACAGTAGTGGTAACGCCTCCAAAAATAATATCAAAGCCACCACCAGCGACAATACTAGTAACATCTTTAAAAAAAAATTTCTCCCATGGTTATACGTGAAAGGCATAGAAGGATAGACTGTTTATCAAACAGTAACTTCAACAACTTCACCTCAAGGGAAACCTGAAATGGCATTAACATTTTCCTCTCAAGTTCTGACGACTTTCGAAAAGCCACTAAGTTTCCCATTGAGAAATTATTAATTTTACTCCTATCAACTACCTGAAGAGCGAGCATTTAAAGTAGTTTTAAGAGATATATTTCTAGAGTCGGACTGCGAAGAGATCAAAGATCTAAGAGGACGGTGATTCCACCCGTTAAAAGTCGCTCGAATGAAAAACTTTAGAAACGATAGGAAACCGACTCCACTTGTTCTCGTGCATCTACAGAGATCTGAAGTATCAATATATAAAGTTACTTCTGTTTGTCATCTCTCAACCCCTGTGGAAAGCCTGTAGAACAGCACCAGGGTTGGTCAATGCCATCGCTGTCAGCTTTTCGGTCATAACTCAATTTACTGCATCTCGGGCCACGAATGCATCAAATGTGGTGAAAATCACGAAATTATATGGTGTACAAAAACACCGTAGTCTGCACAAAAATGTGCTAGCTGTCAGGGCAATCACACTGCAAACTAAAGGGGATGTTAATATTATCCGAAAAACACATACTTAAGAAAAATGCAACCTACACCCACCACTATTGTACCTAAACCAGGAGCATCCTTTAAAAAAATACTTCTACCTCCTCAACGAAAGAGAGGGCTCGCACTGAAAGAAAAGTTACGAATAACCAATTAAATTTAAGAAATACACTTTTTACTATAGCCAAATCGCTTAAAATGAACTTCTCAAATTGTTATGACTGTCCTGCAAAACGCATTGAAGTACATTCGTATTCTATTCTAGAACGCCGATAGCCTGTGTTGCAAAAGAAAGGAGTTGGAAGAGCTTCTTATAAGAGAAAAAAATCGATAGTTCTTGCGAGCGAAACATACCTAAAACCCGGAGATTTCTTTAAATTGCCCAACTACATAATATGCCGAAAGACTAAATTGACTCTTAAAAAGGAGGTGTAGTAGTATTGGTCAGAAGACACCTTGCTCACTAGAGATTTCATTTAATAGTTAACTTTCATTAAAGGAATTGCAATTAAAATAAATCCAAATGGTCAAGGCAAAGTAGCGAGTATCTCTGCATATAAATCTTCGGGAAAGCCCCTAGTAAATAGCAAAATGAACCTCGTTATGAGCTATCATAGTTCCGTAACTCTTTGTGGCGATCTGAACTGCAAAAATTCATTATGGGATTACAGAATGGGGACTCCTAATGGAGAAATTATCAACAGTAAGGGGTTATTGCTTTGGGTCCAACCAACCCTACAGTCATTCCTAAGTGAGGTACTGCTGATGAAATTAGACATTGCAATTATAAAAAATATTTGTCTCGCAGTTAAACAGAAGATTCTATATGAGCTCTCCTTAGATTACTCACCTGCAGTTCTTAAAATAAGCTCCCTAGAAGTTGGCTCTCCGCCTTTATTACGTAAATTCACCAGTTGGAAAACTTTTATAAAGCTCTTCTAGACGGAAAAATTAAAGACGACCCTTTGAGACTTTATTCGCCCGCACTTCTCAGTGATCCAGTAGCTAACCTTCAAAACACGATCATTTCATCATACCAAAAGGTCACTACCACTACGAAACAATCATATTTAAAATCACATCTGCCGACAGAAGTTAAATTCTTCTTCAATCTAGCAAACAGCAAAACAGGAGATTTGCTTTAACTTCGGACCCCTAAAGAGAAATGGTTACTAAGTAACTTTGACAAAAAGGTTAAAAATAGCCTCCTCACTATTTACAAACGAAAATGGGTGAATAAGTTTTCTAATCTAGGAAATAATAGCCCTCACTCTTACTGGCAATCCAGTAAATCGGTGAAGAACCGCCATAAACAGCAAAGCTTCCCGTTAAAGTCGAAAAACGGTATTGTTTACGACGGCAAAGAGAAAGTGGAAGTCTTTGCTCGCTGTCTCCTGTCCCAATGCCTACCCTTAACAATTTCTTCAAATAGAACAGCCACCCTTACACGACTCTCCTCCTCCTATAGTAAGCCAGCACCGCTAAAGGATCACACAAACTTCAAAGAGGTGCAAACAATTATTAACTTCTTCTCAACTAATAAGTCACCAGGATCTTATAGCGTAGCAAACCTCATGCTAAAAAAACTTACCTGAATCGACCATAAAACTCTCACTTTTATAATTAACGCCACTATAAGTTTTTCACTATTTCCCAATCAATGGAAAGTAGTCACTTATTTTTCTACCAAAATTAAAAAACCCTACCTTAAACCCCCTGGTCTATCGCCCAGTAAGTCTACTATCCTGTCCTGGCAAAGTAGCAGAGGCAAACCATATCCTCATTGAAAACCAATTTGGGTTCAGAAGGAGCCATTTAACTATGCAACAACTCTTGAGGTCCATCGAGCACGTGTCAAAGAGATTTAACAAAAACAAGATCACATGCACTGTTCTCTTGGATATTGATGCTTTAAATAGAGTTTGGTCGCGGATCTTCTAACTAAAATGATCACCTAAGAATAAAAGATTACCTCCTATCCATTATTGAATCATTTTTGCATTGTAGAAAGTTTTTACTATAATTGAAAAGGTGGCTTGCTCAAGTTTATAGGTAACTCGGGGAAGGCGTATCACAAGGTTTCTTACTTTTACCTTTCCTCTTTTCGAGTTACCTGGTAGACGTACCCATCACAATTCGCTGATGACATAACAATCTTTGCTATTTCTAAGTCAACTCCGCTAGCAATAAAAAATGTGCAAGCATACATTGAAAGGATCGAGCTTTGGTTCGCCCAGTGGCATCTTACTATTAACCCCTCAAAGAGCACAGCCTTAATCATTACTAAAAGATGTAAAAAACTAAATGTTCAACCAACTGTCATTAACGGTACACCAGCCCCTGTCGCATTAACATAAACTATCCGGGCCTCATAGACAACAGACTCTCTTGACGCACCCATTTTTAACATGTCACGAAAAAGGCTAAACTGGATATCAAACTACTATACCCGCTTATCTGTCGGAAAAGTAGCCTCTTTAACCGCAACGAATGCCAACTTTATCTCACACTATTAGCCCAAAGATGACCTACTCATCTCAAGCGGGGTCGTATTTTCGCCCTTCCATTATTCAGTCACTCCAGGTTATACAAAACTCTATACTGAGAACTATTTTAGGTGCCCCATTGTTCTTCCATTCACCGCGACTTAAATAATTAAACTCTATCACAATTTTCTCAACTTGCAGTCAAAGAGAATATTGAAAAGTTTTTGGCTTATTCTAATCCGCTATTTATTCAAGTAACTTACGAAACTAGTACATATTAAAAATACAGGTAACTTCGAACGCAACTTGACGGCGTCTGATGCTCCAGTGACCACCTATTAACCTGAATATCCTATCATCCGATGTTACGCCGTAACAAAATTAGATTAAGCAGTACTTGAGGCCTTATAAAAAGAGAGACCTGACTCTAGCATGTCAGAGTTATAAATATATAAATATTAAAATTCATCGCGTTTTGCTTCTTCCTCCTGCTCACATGTTTTTATTTTTATTTTTATTTGGACACCGTTTAGTTGAGGCATCTTTAACTTATTTGAGTGTGTTTAAATAGAATTGGAGTTCTTATGACTGAGTGCTGACAAATTAATTTAATGTGCTAAATTTGCTCTTTTTCTTTTAAATATATCGAAATTAATTTACTTAGATATTAACAAGTCAATGTGGTAAAAACTCAAAAGGTTATTACTTGCATTCAATTTAGGACTAAAGAAGAATGGAGTGCCGACTTTTTAAAAAGTTACAAACACACACAATAGGTTTTTTTATAACATTCATTTGGGTATTAATCATCAGGGTTGGTGATAAATCCTTAATTCAAGAATATGGCTGTTTAGTATACAAACCTATAAGTTAAATTTGTTTATTTGCCCTTGTTATGAACATCATTAGCTATAAAAGTAAGTTAAATTTTTTTAAGAAAACAGAACCGTTGAAATTTAATTTATTCTCTAATTTTAAATAATTTTTTTTAAAAGGATAATTTGCCTTGCACAATTTAGAATATATGGGCAATTCTGAATACGCAACTCTGAAAAACCGAAAAAGAACCGCGTCAGTAAATCTGACTCACGATTCGTTGATTGCGCGTCATTGCTCTATATAGCCTATCTTTGATTGCGCTCTCAGCTCAGGTATATGCTGCTTGACTTCTTAAACTTACTGCACATATTTTTTAAGAAAAATATAAAGTAGCCATAATGAAAAGCTAAATTAACTGCACGACACTTTTACAGGGGGGAAAACATTTAGCATTGAAGATTTTGCATTTTTATTTAGGGTTAATTAAGACTTCTTATGGTCGTTTCAATTATAAATAAAATTGTGCTAATACGACTACGGCATCTTTACCTATTAGAAGACAAAAACTATCCTTTAAATTGTACCTTGTCAGAATCACCTTAACCAGCGACAAATCAAAACCTTTATAAGCACCTGATTTACACACCCAATATGTACTTTAAATGTACTGTACGAATTAAAAGTTTCCGTTCTAATATTTTACCAAGACCTAAGTAGAAGAGTAGTAAAATATGGATACCTACACAGCGATTTTAACAATATTATACTTCCTATAACAGAGGTTGGGCTCTAAGATTAAAAAAATCATTACAAAATCCGCCGAAGGAAGACAAAATTCTATTTTTTGAAAGTTGTAAACAAAATAATTTGACTACTATTACTATTGCTCAAAAGGATACAATAGAGCTGCCAGCTTTAAATTTAACTCAATACAAAAAATTTTTTTTATCACATCTCTTTAATTTTGTAATATAATAGATAGCAAAAGCTCATATATATTTTTGCTGATACACTCCTCCTCAGCTTTCTTCAGAACAAAGCTACTCACGTATATGAGAAAATGGTTAACAAAATGGGGAGCGTTGGATATATATATATAGTACTAGTACCTAGGACTATATAGTAAATACTATTCTCCACGCGCAAACGTGGCAAAAAACATCATTACCCACGGCAGCGAACCAGACAGGAACCCTAGGTAAGCATCACTCATCATGTTGTTCTGTTTGTCTACGCCTTCGTTCTCAACTATTTGCTACTCGACAAGGGAATGCTACACAACTTAGCTGATTTCGTTAACGATTCAGTAGCTGTGTTAACTGCGTCAGCTCATCTAGGCAGATTAGGTTTTAAAATTGCTTCGAAAGGCAATGCCAATAATCAACGCGAAGATTTGACTTTAGCAAGGTTAATTAGCCTATTTATTTCAAACCAGCAAGGTTAATATGAGTTTACAAATTATTCTCGCGGGCGAACATAAAGAAGTCAATCCCAAGTATGTTACCAACAATGACAAATGCTCACATGTTACAGGGAAGATTTCAATTGCCGATGAACAAGTCACCGCCGCCACTGTGCCATTTTTAAGAATATGTTTTTCGGAAAGTGGCGTCAAAGCACCAGCGACTCTTTAAAGTAACATAGACCCTCAATTCAGTGCCTGATCAGAAAGGTATCATAGTCACAACGAAAAGGGTTTGGTCAATAATCACAGTGATCATGTATACAAATATATATATACATCCATGTGCAGCTACAATAGCCTTAGATCAAAGTGACGTCCAATTAGTCGTAGAGGGTGACAGGACCCAACCAAGATAAATTTGCTTCGATATGTTATTCCGCCTTTAGATGGCAATTTTTCGACCATCATAGACCGTAACCATCTGGCAGCCTATAGGATTAACGCAAACGCGAATTTTTTATATTGGCGCGATCTTTTCCGTGCGCCTGTACGACATTGAAATTGGCGACAGCACAGAAATCGTTAGGCCCAATGAAGAGTGTACGAAACTTAACGAAGACTCAAAAGGTTCGATCAACGGTCAAAAGCCAAGATAAACTCCGCTCGACAAAGCGTTACCACTAATAACCCGACCTACCCAGTTGCCAATGGGTTTAACTATAAACCACGAAGGACTAACGTTCTGCAGTCACAGTTAAGTTTAGCCTCGACACAAGCTCATGCGCGAATGAGAAAATAAAGATGCTTACGCAGGAGAGAAAGCGCGCAGTGAGAGACAGTAATTAACTAGTTGCTATCCATATACGGGCGATCCTTAGCCTTAAATATAAACAAGTGCAAAAAATGAACAGGACCGTTAAATAATTTGTTGTTAAAAAATATACTCTTTTAAGTGGAGTAGGACGCCTTCCTGAGTTAAATTACTATGTTCTCCCTTGTTTTGCTCTGTTATGTCATGTTATGTGATTCTGGGTTATGCTATGTTATTAAATTATGTTAAATCATATTATATGTTGCTATATTTGTACTGAAAAAAGTTATCTTCCTTTTTCGTAGAAGTACGTAAAGTATTGTTAATGTTGGTTATAGTTGAACTCGTCATGATCCTTCTCTCCAACATTGAATGAACTAAACTACAAACCCCCAATGCAGTATGTATTTCCACAACTTCAGAGGGTAAGATTTTCTTTATTAGTTTTCATTTTATTTGGTATTATTTTATTTTATTTTATTTGTTAATTTATTAAAGATTAATATGAAAAATTATATATAAATGCTACAACGAGTTGGCCGTTATTTATTGTTTATAACACTGTTACAGAATTAGCCGAGTAATACTTAGCCAATATTTTGCTTGACCTGACCTGCTTAATTACCTCTTTAAATAGACAATATACACAATGTTAGTCATTTTTAGATATTTTATTTAGTCAAGTCTTATCAAACATAATACAAGTTCTTACTTTAGAATTAGAAATTGCTTGCTTAAACTGACTAAGTTATCTTCCTTTTTGCTGAAGGATGTACTAAAATTTGTACTAATGCTCACTAGAATTTGACTGGTTTTAA